CGTCCCTCTCCTCCCTGTCTCTCCCTCTCCCACCTCTCTTCCCACCACCTCCTCCGCCACCGCGAGCGGAGAAAGACACCGTGAAACATGAAAATGTAAACGACGCGACGAGGCGAGCAATTCGTGGAAAATTCTGATCTCTTTATCGCGTGTGATCTTCCACTCTATGCTTGTTGAATGATTAGAAGGGATTTTGATTTATCTTAGCGTATGCTCTTTCGCCCCCTCGATTTATTCCAAGATCGCTTAACAGATTGTAAATACGCGGATTCTAACGCGCCATCGAAAACTCCATCTTTGGAGGAGGAAGATGCACGCGAGGAGATTGGAGATTTATTATTTCGCTTATTTCGATTATACTCGAGGTGTAATCGAGACGAGGAAGATTGTAGGGAAATAATTGTTTTTAAACCGACTTTTTCAACGCGTATATCCATTTCGAGACACGTGGAAAATAAATCTCGCGCGAGTAACGCGGTGAACGGTGCGGGTCCGGCGAAGGAGAAAAATAGGCGGGGAGGAGGAGAATGGGCGAGAGACGTGAGAGAGGAGAATAAAGAGAAACGAGCGAGGAGAGATACAAGCGGCGGCAAGAGGAGAGCAGGTGCAAACTTGGCCTGTCAGGAAGTCGCTTACAGCTCGAGGACAAAAGCTTCCCGAGGGACTCGTGCACGGTTGGAAGCGAGGCTAGGGACGAAGCTCGGTCTTCTCCGGATAGAGAAGATGCCAGCCATGGAAGAAGGTTGAAGGTGGCGCGAAGGTGGGGCGAGCCTAACTGTGAAATAACAGGGTGGCCTCCTCAACCCTCGTTTCGGGGGGATGCGAGTCTCGTACGTCACTTCCTTGGAAAGAGGGCGGTGTCTCAGGGTTGAAGCAGGTTATATTGATTTATTTATATCGAGGACGCAACCCCAATACGATGGGGTTATTGGGAATGTATCTGTATCCGGCCTATAACCCCGTCTGTGTTTCCTACGGATCTGACGGATCCCGTTTCTTCCTTGCTTTAGACGTTTATCCGTGATGTTCTTTCGATTCGTTCTTTCACGATCCACGTGTATCGAGACGAGATGCAAAAATCGCGAAATAGAAATCATCCAAAGAAGTAACTTGTTTTCGTTATGTACGCGTGATCGTCGAGTATTTTAAAAAAAATAGACGATCCATTATATCCAGTAAATAGACAATTTTCAACTTTGCAAGAAGCTTATTATCATTTATTGATATCTATTGGAAAATAAACAAGTTACGAGTGGATTGGATTATAGGTCATTGTTTTTTTTTTTTTTTTAGTATATCGATACATATGTCAATAATACAAACAATAATCGTACGATTTGATAATTCTAAAAATTTTTTAAACGATATTTAAATTATATTATAAATATATCGGATATTTTATAAATATGTCAAACTCGTTTTGAAGAAAGATCGATTATACGGATGCCCTCGATGAATAAAATTTTAACGAATGGGAAACTAATGGTAAAATTAAATCCATATTTCTCAATTCCGGAAATAACAAGATAACGCGAGGAGAACTTGGCTGAGAGCAATCTAACGCATGTGTATTATTACGTTTTATTTTCGCGTAACCCTCGGCCGAAACGGGATTCCGAACGAATTGCAAAACCGATGACAGACTACCGAGTGAGAAGCAGCACGACGCAGGGAGAGGCTGACTCATAAAAAGAGAGCAGAATTGTAATTGAGAATATCCGTGCGATTGGCCAGCGAAAAAGTTCAACGAACGCTGAAACTGGAAGCACGACACTCGTTAACACAGAATGAATCAGTGGCGGACAGCGGAGGACCCGATACCGATGAGAGATCCGCGCTGCTCGAATTACATTCCAATTTACAATCGTCGAGCGTGCGATAGTCCGTAAAAATAAACCGTGACGAGGGACGATGGTCGCCTCGAAACGTATCCCTCTCCTCACTTTTCGTCCCCGATCGAAGAGGGAAAACGAAGACGAACATCATCCCTCGATCCTCGAGATCGGCTCACCTTCTTCTCGATACGCGATTTCAACCTTCTCTCTCTTTTTCTCTTTCACTCTCTCTCATCTCATCCGCTACACACGATTCGACATAACTGTCGCTAACACGCGAGCCCCGAAGTTAACCCGCAATTTAGCCACGGAGCGATCGTTCAAAAGAGACGTCTCACTTGATGCCACTTAACCAACGCCCCTCCCCCGCTCAGGCCCCGGACTCGTGCTCCGTTTCCAGATGCGACGATTGCTCTCCTCTCTCCTCGGAACACGGAATCGGCCGTGATTAAAGTTTCAGGGGCGGAATAATTCATGACGCGGTTCGAGCCGTTTCAATGAATTCGGATCGTCGCTTTCGCTGCGTCTCGTTCGTATGGATCGACTTATATACCCACGGATTCAATTATCTACCGCGAATCTATCGCGTGCGGAAACGCGTTCGATTAATAAAACGAGAAAACGATCGAGCCGTGACGGAAATACGAGCAAGGCGAATAAAAATAAATAAAATTCGGGATCCACGCTCGTTTATTCGCTCTGCGAAAGCGATGGAGGGCGTTCTTAGACGAGTTTTAGAAAATTCCCACGATAAATCACGGTTACAGAGTTGACGGGGTGACGCGTATGATTACACCCTGTCTCTTAGTGGCCATAAATTTCTTCAGCGGCCGCTCCACCTCCGCGCTCTAGGATCCTACAGGTATTCCCGGAGTCCCGTTTCATCGACGACGACTTCGGGGATAACTGTGACGCACGGTCTGCCAGTGTTTAATGGGTCGGCAACGGCCGACTCCGAATAATCCTGATGTATCGTTTATTCGCTCGTTCCTGCTCCGAGCGTAGAAAGGCGGGATTCCAACGACGATGGAGGAGCAGTCATCTCGCTCCCTCCCTTCCCCTTCTCCTCCACTTCTTCCCGCGGATCCATCTACCTGCAGAGAAATCTTTCCCTCGTCTCGCGATACGTTCCCTCGTCTTTGTTCCGAGATATCTTTCGACCAATGTGTCGCGTGCAATCCGTATTAGAACGGAAAAGCTTATTTCTCTCCCGTGGAATCGTTGCAATCCTCCTCCCCCGTCGTTAATGCGAATTCGGCTGCTTCTCTTCCACGACTAACTATTATATATTTCGAATGGCTGGTTCAACCCTGTCATTTATCTAGGCCACAAATTAACACGAGCAAGCATAACCGTAACGCCAGGTTAAACGCACCTTTTCCTCGGGCCCTGGAATTAGAGAATCCCAACCCCTAATTTCAATCATCCTCGAAACCGAACTCGAAAAGGAAAGACCCTCCCGTTCTCGAATCCTTTAAATCATAGCGTTCGATATTTTTCACAAAAACGCACTTTTCTCATTTTGTATGTTTTACACGTATCCGATTGGAAATTCAGCTGAATTTAATCGATCCGTACGACTAGATCGTTATTCGTTATACCGTGGATCAGACACACGAAGGAGGAGGATACCTAATATCGGCGCGCCTGGTCCAAGCAATTTTCTGCTTTTCAAGAATATAATTTTCGCCGGGGGATGGTCGCTATATTTCCGTAGATAAGACTGTAGCTCCGCCGGATCCGGCGGCCGCCCAGCCGAGACCCTACTCTCTCGTGTGAAATTACTTCGCTCCGCGGCTTACTCTTATCCCCCGGTGCCACCCTTTCTTACCGTGTATCCTCATTCAGCCGGGGATCTCCTCTGGAAATAAAGTAGATACCTTTCCTATTTTCGCATCCGGAAAATTGCAATACCTCCGCTACGAGACTCGCCCCCTTGTCCTCCTTATAAATCAGCCTCGCGGTCTCCTCTCGCGTTAATCGCGTGTCGCCTTCGATCATTTTCTCTTCTCATCCTTCCTCCTGATTGCCTAATGCGTAATTTCTCTTGAAAAAAAAAAAAAAAGAAAAGAAAAATACGATTTTGCTACGCACGAATCGAAAGATTACTCTTAGAGTGGAAAACAGCTCGAAATGGAATACGAACGATAATTTCGTATTTCATTTTTTCTTTTTTTTTCGTACGTGTCAAAATATCATGTTCGAGAGAAATTTAGAAATGTTCGTTTTTTCTATCACGTGCAAAAAAATTAAAAAAAAAAAAAAGGAAAAAAAACCGTTTCCCCACTTCGCGAGTATTAATCGGGGACAATTTAATCGTGAAATATACGGGATACCTGTATCCGTTGTTTCAGTATATCTGTCGTATCCAACGTTACCGCCCCGAGGATTCGTTCGATACATTCCGGTAGGCGGTGAACCCGTTTGAGCGAGTACCGGCTCTTAACGCAACAAGCTCTCCTCGCGCGTTTATCTAATTATTATAATTGCGCGATTATTCTTGGCCGGAGGAGAGGCACGGCAGGGGTGAGATCGCATGTGCCGGGCCCATGTGCAAAAAAGAAACGAAACGAGTAACGGGATATATATGGAGCAGCACGCGATAGAATCTCCCCGAGTTCGAAGTCGTGATGCGAACGATCACGAATTCTTCGCCCTCTTTGTGCATCGGCCCTCGCTGCATTCTTTCCACGCGCGCACGCCGCTCTCTGTCTCCTCGTAATAACTATCCCTTTCGACAATTTTTATACACACGAATTTATTTCTCCTTCTACCGAGAATTTTCTCTCTCTCTCTCTCTCTCTTCGCTCGCTCGCACACAAGAATTTCCTTCTTCCTTCCACTCGTGTTGCGCAGAAATATTTATGCATTTCATTAAACCTCTCTCTCTCTCGGAGGTGATTCGACTCGTTTCTGATATCGTTCACATTGACACGATGCAAATCCCGTATACACCCCGGTACCACCGTTGGTCGCGCCGATCACGCGACCGCGTGCTTGTTCTCCCTCGCATACGTAGGAGAGAGAATGAGAAAAAAAAAGAAGAAGAAGAAGAAGAAGGAGGGGGGAAAAAAGGAAAGAACCGGTCGAGGGGTAATTTTGCTTGATACGAGGTTGTATGGAGAGAGTGATTAACGGTGAAATCGATTTTTTTCTTTGCTTCAGGTAAATGGTGTCCGCGTAGGGAATGGAGTTCGCCGCCGGACGCGCAACGAGCGGCGAGCGATGCGCGTCGTGGCGTTCTTTACTCTTCCGTCTTCCTCGGTAGCCCCGGTAAGTCTCTACCTAAACTTCTCACTCTTCTCTCTCTAAAAACTTTTCTCTTCAAACCCTTCCATCGGAACATCTCCAACCGAAATACTCGGCTCGTACTCTTTTTTTCTTAACCTTTCCCCGATGCTCGAGTAGAATTGTGATTTTTCTCCTTAACCCCTAACCCTTTCTGCTTAACTCTTGATAACTCAACTCTAATTCTGTTCGCGATCTCGCGAACTTCTTCTGCGAATCCACGCTCTTGCTACGACGAGATTCAACGGAGAATCGGAAGAATCTCTAATCCCGTGGATCCGGCGGAATCCGATTTTTATAACGTAAAAATCCGTTTCTCCTCGTCTGCTTCGAAGAAAATTCGCGCCTGTTTTTCCGCAAAATTTCACGAAGGCCGGGTAGAAACGGAGAAACGTGTGCAGACGGTTGGTCGAGCGCGGTGAAACACGCGCGGTATACACGGCCTCCTCGGTGGGAGGAGCGCAATCGTTCGCGGCATAAACAAGTTTTAATCGTGCCTCGGGCATTCGCCGCGTTGAATAAATATTGATATCGGGTGACGCGACGGCCAATCAGAATCGGGGCTTATAAAGCAAGCCGCTTACACCTCCGCCTGTCTATCGCGCCGCGGCGCGTACACGCGTTCTCCCCCATGTTCCCATCTCGACGTGTTACAACATCGCTGCTTATCTCCGATATTCTCGGCCGCGAAATATCCGGAGAGGAAAAAAAAGGAGAAGAAAGAAGGAAAGAAAAATTGGCCGGGGACAAGAGGCGATGGTGGGACTCGTTCGTTGATTATCCCCACGTTCGCTGCACAACGAATATATTGGCATAAATCATTCGATTTTAGAGAAATGGAAATCTGAATATTTATAACAACGCACGAGAGTATATAACGCTGTATTAAAATTTCAAATTGAAAAATTTCACGTTTCTATCGGTATATATATATATATATATACAGGAAAAGAGAAAAAAGAAACGTTTATTTCCAAAAAAAAACTACTCAAAAATCGGATCAACTTCGTTATTAAAACCGATCGTATTTTCCAACATACGATCACATTTTGTCAAAAACACCGCTTATACATATATACTGGATAAAATTCAAAAAAAGTGAGATTCGAAAAACTCGAATCGAAAACAGTGGCTCGTGTAAACGTGCGCGTTAGCCTCGTTAGCCTCGTTTGCCACCGGTGGCCGCGATCTCTCGGTGGCGCGATGATGTCGAGCATCGATACCTATCGATACACACGTCCGATTCCCGCGGAAACGATCGGCGCGAGCTGTCCATCCGTACGATTTCTCCTTTAATTAAATTACGCGGCCGCCAAGGAGGGCCCCGATAAGTGGGGAGGGGGGAAGGGACGTAAATCACTTTCAGTCGATAACTAATCGAACGATTCGAAACCGGGAGACGTCCGCTCCGTCGTGGAAGACGTCGGGGAGTAGTATCGCGCATGCGCTCTCTTTCGCTTCCCTCTCCCCTCTCCCCTCCCCTCCCTCCCTGTCTCGCGCGCGCGTTCCTCTTTATCTCGCCGGCCCTCTCTTCCTCTTCGTCCGAAGGAGCGCGGAGAGAATATGAGCGAATGAGCCGGGGAGAAGCTTGGCGGAGTTGGCGCGACGACGGGGAGGAACGCGGAGTGAGGGAAGCCGGGGAGGGTGGACGGGTGCGGGAGGGGCAACGGCGGAGGGAAAAGGACGGAGGGAAGAGTCCGGGTGGACGAGGGAGACGGACAGAGGGCAGGCGAAAGAGGCGAGAGAGAGAGAGAGAGAGAGAGAGAGAGGAGGAGGCGGCG